GCTTGAACCTGGGAGGTCAAGGCTGCAGTGAACCGTGATTGCACTACTGCTCTAGCCTGGGCAACAGTGAGACTATCTCAAACAACAGCAAAAAACAAACAAACAAAAAAATTACAGGTGGCTCACACCTGTAATCCCAGCACTTTTGGAGGTTGAGGCATGCGGATCACTTGAGGCCAGGAGTTTGATACCAGCCTGGCCAACGTGGTGAAATCCCGCCTCTACAAAAAGTACACAAAAATTTAGCCGGGTGTCATGGCATATGCCTATAGTTCCAGCTACTCCTAGAAGCTGAGGCATTAGAATCACTTGAGCCTGGGTGGCAGAGGTTGCAGTGAGCAGAGATCGCCAGTCTGGGTGACAGAGCTAGGTTCTACTCAAAAAAATAAAATAAAATAGAAAAAATTTGAGACCCACTGACCTGTAGTGTCCAGAGCTGAGGGAACCCCAGAGCAGGGAAGAACAGTGCCCCATTTTTCTTTCTCTTTCTCTCCCACCCTTGGCCCAGAAGTGCCTGTGCATGGGGCTGGAGTGTTTAGGAGCTTAGATCCCTTCTGCCCTCTCATGTGCATTGTATTAATAGGAGAATAGTGTGACTCCAAGTCCTTATACATTTTCTCCCCTTTGCTGTGGAAGACATGAGGTTGGGACTGGTGCTTGTTCTTAGTGGCCTCTGAACAAGCCAGGGTTTTGATTTGGATGGTGAGTCCACAGCAAGGAGAATCTTTCTCCCTACATCTGAAGCTCCAGCACTGCCATCGTACTTGTGAAAAAAAGTCAACTTTTTTTTTTTGAGACAGAGTCTCAGTCTTTTGCCCCAAGCTGGAGTGCAATGGCGTGATCTCGGCTCACTGCAGTTTGTTTCCTGGGTTCAGGCAATTCTTGTGCCTCAGCCTCCCAAGTAGCTGGGATTACAGGCGTGTACCACAAAGTCAGCTAATTAAAAAAAATCAACTTTGACTGTAACTTTAGCTCTTACGGAGATATCGATTTTTGTCTCAAGACTTTGAAAACTGTGTCAGTTTTGGTTATAATTCCATCACCTGACTGCACAAGTGGATAATTTTTGCCAGGGGTTCAAGAGGAAAGATTCTCAGTCAGACGCCCATCCCTGGGAGGTAGGACAGCTCACTGAATGCATTCACCTTACTACCTACCATGTCTTCAGTTTCTCAGGCTTGAGGGGAGAGGGTATAATGCTTCCTCGGGCTCTCAGTCTGGCCTTCACCTGGCTTAGACACCCTCATACCTCCGTGTGCCTTTCCTAGCAAAATTGGCTTCCTTGGGCTTTGTTGACTGCAAAGGTTGGACACCACTGCTCATGTGATCACCAAGCAGGGCCGGGAAAACTACGAGGCAACAGACCATAAAAAGTGCTGTGTGTGCCTGCTCAGGTATCTCTGGAAGGCAGGATCAGTGACCAGGCAGAACATGTCACCAGCTAGTTTATGCCAGGGAGAGCCTGAGTTCAATGGGATGGCCAGAGTCTGTTCACCAATAGTCTTGGAGAAAGTGTTAGAAATAACCATGTCAGTACTCTTAGCTACTGTTTACTCAACATGATGTGTGTGAGACACCTGGCAAACACTGCCATTAACCCTGGTGTGCCCCATGTTAGTAATGAGAACACTGAGGCTCAGCTCAGGTGGCTTCTACAAAGTGATTCAGAAGTGGCAGGAGATAGTCACACCCGTGGTGCGGAAAGCCATTGTCTGTGCTCACTCTCTCTGTGCCAGATGCTCCAGCCCTGGCTTTGCTTCAGTGGCACCTGCAGATGCTGGGCCCTGCTCCAAACCTTCATGGGAATCTTGAGGGGCTGGCTGCACAGATGACTTCAATGTACAGGCACCGTTGAGAGCCACTGCAGGAGAGTTTTTTGTCTCCCCTTCTGGCTTGTTTTTAAAAATCACATTCTGTCCCTCTAACCCTGTGGTTTGGTAGTGACAAGACTTAGATCTGTTACCTCTATTTTTCTCAACCTGTAGGTGTTGGTTACTCCCCATCCCGGTACCCTCAGCACCAGCTGCTTTGGTTTTTCTGGAATCAGAAACTTGGTTTTCTATTACCATCTCCCAGGTCATTCATACCTCCTCCTCTAGTGCCCCAGCCACAGACTGTTGCTCAGCCAAGACTCTGTGTCACGTGGATTCATGGTAATAACCAACTTGTAATTCCACTGTGGTTTTCCCTCTGTCGCTGTCGTCCTGCCTGGCTCGGGGCGGCTCCTCCCACTGTTGAGGACGCTCAGAAACTGCAAGATTACTGTGACTGTTGCTAAAGCCAGCTAGAGCTAGACCTTCCTGGACCAGCAAAGCTGCTGCCACAAAAAGAGAGTCTCATTCACCTAGCAGCCCTAAACCAAACATAGGGCAGGCACTGCCTCCACTCTTCTTCCACAGCAGGGAGGATGGCATCGTGTCTGTGGTGGGGCTGGGGGTTCTGTCACCTGTAGGCTCGGTGACCATGAGCAGGACATTTAATATATGAATGTTAATTTATCTATCTGAAAAATGGAGGTTGTTGTAAAGCTTGAAGGAGATAATGGTTGTGCAATTGGGAAGTGAGGTGGGAGGTTGCGTGAGGCCAGGAGTTGGAGACCAGCCTGGGCAACAGAGTGAGACTCCGTCTCTGCCAAAAAAAAAAAAAAAAAGAAAATTTTAATTAGCTGGGTGTGGTGGTGTATACCTGTTGGGAGGCTGAGGCAGTAGGATCTTGGAAGCTGCAGTGAGCTGTGGTCACACCACAGGTTGCCTCACAGGTTGCCAGCCTGGGCAGCACAGTGAGACCCTGTTTCTTTAAAAAATAAAAAAATTATTTCCTTCAGTCAGCACTCTTTGAGTTCCTAGTATGCACATAGGCACTGTGAGGAGGGCATCTCTAAGAAGTAGAAAGCGCAGACCTTGTCTCTTCATTGACTGGGGTGAAATGAGAAAGTATCTTAGGGCTGGGCGCAGTGGCTCACGCCTGTAATCCCAGGACTTTGGGAGGCAGAGGCGGGCGGATCACAAGGTCAGGAGATCGAGACCACAGTGGCAACACAGTGAAACCCTGTCTCTACTAAAATTACAAAAAATAGCCGGGTGTGGTGGCGGGCGCCTGTAGTCCCAGCTACTCGGGAGGCTGAGGCAGGAGAATGGCGTGAATCCGGGAGGCAGAGTTTGCAGTGAGCAGAGATCACGCCACTGCACTCCAGCCTGGGCGACAGAGCGAGACTCCAGCTCAAAAAAACAGAACAAAACAAAAAAGCTTCTTAAACTATGAAATATTGAAATGGCATAACTTTGAAATACTTACATGGTATTTCTGGTTGCTAATTGAGACCCACCACCCCGTACTTCCTTCCTTGTACTTTTGGGGAAGAGGTGGGCCCCATTTCAAACCTCTTTTCCTTTGGTTCTGTCCAGAAAGGAAACTGTTGTTTCTGGCTAGTGAATCATTCTTCCTGAAGCTCACTTTTTAAATGAGTTGCTGGGAGAACTTGGATGTGGAAAACGATTTGAGGTTGAACAAAACAAGCCCTTTGCTGTCAGCTTCTTGCATGAGTGTGCACCATTTGCTTCCCACAGACACCTCCTGTTCATCCACATTGCTGTCCCTTGACTCTGAGGGAATGTACTTCCCTTGCTCAGGGACAGATCACGGCTCTCCCTGGGATCTTAGACTCCATTATGCAAAGGGAAGCCTAATAAAAACCTTTTCTTTCCAACCCAGGTTCAAACGCTGAACGGTGTTCAGTATTTAATACCTACTCACAGGACCTGTTTGTAAAATATTCTGTATATATCCTGATGTCTGTTAACATCAGATGTATATGTCTGATGAAGACATCCACTTATGTCTTCTAGAGGCTTCTAGAGATAGGCTCCTCATGTGTCTTTGCAATTCCAAAACTTACCAAAAACAAAAACCTGAGCCTCTGAAGCTGTCGCCAACCAAGTGATTCAGATGTCGGGGCTGGAACACCAGTTGTTGGGGGTGCAGGACTTGGTCTCTGCCCTCCCTCACCTCCTGCCTCTTCTTTCTCTCCATCACCCCATCTCTGCCAGTAGAGAATGGAACTGAGGTCTCTATTGAAAAAGGGAAAGTTGGTAGCTGTGCTGACTGCGGCAGAGCTCTGACTTCGGTGTGTGTTTCTGTGTGTGTGTGTTTCGGTGTGTGTTTTGGTGTGTTTCTGTGAGTGTTTTGGGGTGTGTTTGTGTGTTTCTCTATGTGTTTGCTTTGTGTGTGTTTCGGTATGGGTTTGTTTCTGTGTGTTTTGTTTTTTAATGGGCGCGAGACTTTGGCCCATCAAAAATGAGAGAACTAGGGAAGAAGGCTCAGGATGAGAGAGTGAAACATTGCTTTGATTCTGGTGCACAGAGGAGCACAGTCCAGCCTTACACTGAAAGTCGGTCAGTCCTTCTGAAGGTGGCAGGAGAAAAATGGCTATGTTAATAACAACTTGTGCTGGCCAGGCCATGGTCCCTGAATGCCCAGCCCACAAGGTTGTCCAAGCACCTTTTCTGAGGAGCTTTCTACCAGGACCCCCTGGGCCCCTGTCTGCCTTACCATTGTGGTCCTGGCTACCAGACTGGAACTTCATTGTTGACCTAAATCCTAGTATCTTCCTAAGCTTTTTTTTTTTTTTTTTTAATTTTGCCGCAAAAGCCTGTTGACTTAACTGTCACCAGGCTGTCACACATTCATTCGTCACCTGTGTGTGTTTATTTTTAAGTGAATGTACATATTTGGGACCCAGAAGTCAATGTGTTTGCTCAGAACCATGAGGCTGAAGTTGGGAGACCATTCTCCTCTTTACGGCTCAGATGGTGGTAGAGCCGGTAGACGTCTAATGTAGCCCAGTGAGGCCTCCTGACCTCTAGTGGGGAGGGCAGGGAGGTGAGGTGAGGGGAAGCAGTCAGCTAGGTCTTAGTGAGGCCAGAGGGAAAGATCTGTAATTTAAGGACACACTGGGCAACGGCCTCTGAACTAACCCAGTACTTCTCATTTCTCCCCTACAGTTGGAGGTCCCCCTCCCCACTAAGTGCCTCTCTGCATAGCACCGGTCCCCACCCGCACACTCTCTGGACCACTACAGCTGGACGGGCAATGGCGGGTCGGGGAGGCGCAGCACGACCCAATGGACCAGCCGCTGGGAACAAGATCTGTCAGTTTAAACTGGTTCTGCTGGGGGAGTCTGCGGTGGGCAAATCCAGCCTCGTCCTCCGCTTTGTCAAGGGACAGTTTCACGAGTACCAGGAGAGCACAATCGGAGGTGAGTGGGCACGAGGGAGTTGGGGAGGGGCCTCAGGGTTGCCAAAGAAATGCTTTGACCTTGAAGAGATGGGAAGCTGCCTGCCTGCATTAGAGACTAAATGCGTCTGTGGTGGCAGCTGCACTTCCTCACCTGGGCTCTGGAATCGAGCCCAGCACCTGGTCTCTATGCCAGAGTCCCCTGAAGCATTGCTAGTAAGCATTCGCTGGAATGGAAAGCCAGCTTCCCATCCTGTTTCTGCCCCTTCCTGATTTGTGTGGCCTTGGCTGAGGCCCTTTCACTGCCCCGGCCTCATGGAGGGAGAGGCTGGCTCTGGATCTTCGAGGCCCCTTCTTACTATAACGGGTGGTCCACGTGCCCTGGCCTTTCCCACTTCCAGAAGGAGGAGCAGCCTGGTGAGTCAGATCTGGGTGATAGGTGGGCGTTTCTGAAGCTGACTTTCTGGAGCTCACAGCCTGTTGTTGATTCTCCAGTGGTCAGCATTTAGGATGTGAGTGAGGGTCTGGCCTCAGCTTCTTGCCTCCGTGGCTAGCACACACGTCAAGAGGCAGGGGCCAATGCTGGCGTTGGCCTTGAGTCATCCTTTCTCTACTCTCTTGGTTGGTAGGAGGTTTCCAGGCAGCTGGAAACAAAATGGGCCGTGTCAGCAGTCTCCCTGCTGCCTCCTCAGCATTTGGGTCAGGAGCTGGAGAGGGGAAGTGAGGCAGTGCCCCAGGTCCCTCAGTACGCTGGGGGAGGGCAGACCAGGAAAGCAGCCTTCCACACACGGCTGTCTGGGGTCCTCTGCTGGGTCCAAGGGCAAAGGGGCCTTTCGCTGTCTGTTCCAGCTCTGGACTCCTCCTTTGAAGTATGTGTACAGGCACCCTGCCTTCCCCTGTCTAAGGAGTCACCTCTTAGTGACTGAAGGTCGGGTCACAGGGTGGCCATACAGGAACGGGTCTGGGTCAGAGCTAGGGGGCGGTGGCTAGCTGGAGTGCCTGGAGGTGGCAGGGGTGGTTGGGAAGGCGGCCACCCAGCCTCAGCCTGGTGGTGGAACAGTGTGTACTTCCCCAGCATAGCTAAGTGTGTGAGAATGTCCTCAGGAAACCCAAGGTCAGTGACACCCCTGGGCTGGAGCAAACTGAGGGGTGGAGAGGTCCCCAGCTGGTCTGTTCTCTGAGTGGCGGGAGGAGGAGGTCTGAGGGCGCTCACCTTTCTGTGCTTGGAGTCAGGCTTCCCCTAGACTTCCCCTCTGCTGCCCCTGCTGCATTCCTCTTCCGAGCGTGGTCCTGAGACAACCCAGTGCATGCAGGCCTCCCTTCTGCCCTCGCCTAGGCTGGGTCTGCAAAGCCTGTGCAGACCCCATCCCCCAGACACGTACATAAAATCCAAACTCCACCCCTGCTCAGGCCTGCTTTGGCTCCTGGGTTGAGGGTTCTCTGTGCCCATCTCAGTGGTGGGCTTCTGCGTGCCAGAGCCTAGAAGCAGCAGCGGGATTGTGTGGGGTGGCTTCCAACTCACCCTTGCCCCTGAACACTCCTTCTCTCTTACAGCGGCCTTCCTCACACAGACTGTCTGCCTGGATGACACAACAGTCAAGTTTGAGATCTGGGACACAGCTGGACAGGAGCGGTATCACAGCCTGGCCCCCATGTACTATCGGGGGGCTCAGGCTGCCATCGTGGTCTATGACATCACCAACACAGTAAAGATTTCCCCTTGCCTCTTCCTCTTCCCTTCATCTTCTCAGAGTCCCAGGGATTGGGTTATCAAAGCCCCGATTTCAGGCCGCTTAACCCTCTGTTCCTGGGTGGCGGGTGGGCAGATTTCCTGTTTGGGGACATTACGTCAGAATCTTTAGGTGGCAGTGTCTTAGATAATTTGGCTGTGCCAACTTGAAAGTCTCTAGTGGGTGGCCCTGGGCAGAATGCCTTCTCTGTCCCTTCGACATTCTGTCCCTGTCTCCTCAGGATACATTTGCACGGGCCAAGAACTGGGTGAAGGAGCTACAGAGGCAGGCCAGCCCCAACATCGTCATTGCACTCGCGGGTAACAAGGCAGACCTGGCCAGCAAGAGAGCCGTGGAATTCCAGGTGAGGAGATGACAGACGTGGGGGAAGGAGTGGAGCAAGCAGCTCCTCCGCCCTCGTCGAGGTTGCTCAGGGGCTTTGAGAAGGGCTGCGCTAGGAGGCAGCGGGGAAGCTTCCATCTGCTGAGCCTCTTGTGCCTCAGGCATGGGCCTAACATGGCTCCTGTCTGTAATCCCAGTGCCTTGGGAGGCTGGAGTGGGAGGATCACTTGAGGCCAGGAGTTGGAGACCAGCCTAGGCGACATAGTAAGACTCTGTCTCTACAAAAGATTTGAAAATTAGTTGGGCTTGGTGGCACGCACCTGTAGTCTCAGCTGCTCGGGAGGCTGAGGCAGGAGGATTGCTGGATTCCAGGAGTTTAAGACTGCAGTGATGGCGCTACTGAACTCCAGCCTGAGCAAGAGTGAGGCCCCATCTCTTAAAAAAATAAAAACAGCCAGATGCGGTGGCATACGCCTATAATCCCAACACTCTGCAGGCTGAGGTGGGAGCATCACTTGAGCTTGGGAGTTCGAGACCAGCATGGGCAATGTGGCAAAACCCTGTGTCTAAAAAAAATACAAAAGTTAGCTAGGCATGGTGGTGTGCTACTCAGGAGGCTGAGGTGGGAAGGATCACTGGAGGCCAGGAGATTTGAAGCTGCAGTGAGCAGTGATTGTGCCACTGCACTCCAGCCTGGGCAACAGAGTGAGATCCTGTCTCAAAAAAAAAAAAAAAGAGAGAAAGCGTGGGCCTAAAGGGAATTACCTGTCACCTGTCTCTCCCTGGTTCTCTTTCTTTGGTGGTAGGGGTATTGTAGATATGGATCACTAGCCTGCTGCTTATCTTTTCTTGTAAGTTGACTTTTTAATTAAACTTACTGAAAAAGAAATGTCTCTGCTAACCCTAGAAACTCAACTTTTCTTCTAATTTCCCCAGTTTCTTGTCCTTCCAGAAATATGCACGTGTCTTTTAATCCCTTTCTTTACATTGATGGCAGTGTGCTATACATACTGTATATGGTCATTTTTTACCAATCCCTAATAATAGCAAAAGACTGAAAACAGTGCTGCAGTAGACATCCACATACTTTTGTGCTTTTGTGCAAACATGTAAGTGTATTTGCAGGTTAACTTTCTAGAAATATTTCCTAGCCTAGTGATTTTGAAGAGCAAGAAGGCAGGGTGGACCTAGGGAAACCTGGGTAAGACATCTGCCAGTGATTGTGAGCTGAGAGGTGCTATACATGAGCGGGGAAACCCAGATCAGGGCAGCCTTAGGCCTGAAAAATCCCTGTGTGTGTCCAGCTGATCTCTATTATGATAAAGCCCTCGAACAGGGAAGGTTTGTATCCTGGGCCCTGGCCCCTGCCAACATTTCCCTCTCACCCTGTCTCACCTCCATCCAAACCAGGAAGCACAAGCCTATGCAGATGACAACAGTTTGCTGTTCATGGAGACATCAGCAAAGACTGCAATGAACGTGAACGAAATCTTCATGGCAATAGGTCAGTTGCTTCTCCTCCCCTCCTCTCTCTGCCACACCAAGGGCATATCACCTGTCTGCTGGTCTTGAGTGGGCCTGTGGGGTCCCTTCATCACTTTTAACCTTCTGATAAAATTGTTTTCGTCTTCACCTGACTCCCAGATGTAGATGTCGGTTGTTCACCCGAGAAGTTCCTGAAGCCTGGGCCAGAGTCTCAACATTTCACTCTCTGAGCCTGTAGCCTGCCATCCATTTCAGAGCCTGCCTTCACTACCCCTACCCACTGCCTAGGAGTTTTTAGCTCATTTGGCTCTGGAATCTTCCTTCCTGGGTTGCAGATCCTGGCTCTACCACTCATTAGCTCTGTGGCCTTGGGCAAGTTATTTAACCTTTCTTTGCCACAGTTTCCTGAAAACATTCAGAATGCGCCTGACCCATAGAAGCCCTCAATATGTGAGTTATCACTGATTGGGTGTAAAGGCCAGAATCTACTCCAGTGGAACAGAGAGAGTTACTGGGGTAACCCCCACAAATGCACTTTTCACCCTCCCAAACAGCTAAGAAGCTTCCCAAGAACGAGCCCCAGAATGCAACTGGTGCTCCAGGCCGAAACCGAGGTGTGGACCTCCAGGAGAACAACCCAGCCAGCCGGAGCCAGTGCTGCAGCAACTGAGCCCCCCTTGCCTGCCCGCTGCCCCCACCTCCTCCACCTGAACGACCCGACTGGAATCCACTCTAACCAATCGCACTTAACGACTGGGGCCACCACTTGGGGGGCAGGGGGAGGGGTCCACCATGATTTCTCCATATAATTTTGATCATAGGCCAGAGTGAGTTATTCCACCTGCACCTTTCTGTACAAATACTAATTCAATTTTAAGTCTTAAGTCACTTTTTTAATATATATGATCTTCTGCTCTTCCCACTTCCTCCCCTTTCTACTGCTCTCCCATTTTCCCTTGCTGGGAGTAGCCACATGCTCTTGTCCCCCCACCCTTGTATATGGGGACAGTGGGGTCAGAGCAGCTACCCTTTCTTTCCCTCCTGCGGAACAGCAGACCCAGCAAGAGCATCCACATCCTCACCTTGTTCGGAGTGGTCTTGGGTTTGGGCGGGGGGGCCAGACCTTGGGAAGGGGCTTAGGAAGGGAGAGGCAGCTCTTCCTTCAGCTGGCTCTCATCAGGCTGCAGTCCCCCTCCCCGCCCCCACCTCCCTGCTGGGAAACCACAGCATTATCACAGCATTATTGTGACAGCCACGAACCCATTGCCCACAACCCTTCCACCCTTGGTCACCCCGACCTCTGGCTCTGAGCCCTGTTCTGACCAAATCACGATGATGAGTATTTGGGGGTGGGTGGGTAAGGGGGGGAGTGGGAGGGGACGGAACCAACTTTTCTGTATTTTGTATTGTATGTTTTCTTCAACATGTAACCAATCAGTATCTTGTCAATATAGTCAGCCGATCGATCGACCTCACACCTGTCTTCCTTGTCTTTCTCTGGCAGTTTATCAGACAGTGCCCTCTGTAGTTGAAATTGATTTAAAATGAACCACTGAATCTTGTTAAACAAAATCTTCCCCTCTAATATGAGGGGATGCTGGCGGTCATGGTAACCAAGAGAAAGAGGCTCTTACTGTTAGCAGCTCTGATGAGGTGGCTGACCTGGGCTGACCACGTTTGAAGTTTCAGGGCCTGTATTCACTTCTCCACCACTCCCTTCCCTTCCCCCACCTACCAGATCATACTGGGGTGACATGCAGTCTGTATTTGATGATCATTAGTCTCTGAAACACCAGAAACAACCTCTTTGGGTTTTTTTGGTTGGTCTTTACCAGTGAGAAGGTCTGGATCCTCTCTTTCTGAAGAGGAAGGAATCCCAACAGCCCCTGGAACGCTGGACTGGTCTTTTTTTTTTTTTTTTGAGACGGAGTCTCGCTCTGTCGCCCAGGCTGGAGTGCAGTGGCCGGATCTCAGCTCACTGCAAGCTCCGCCTCCCAGGTTCACGCCATTCTCCTGCCTCAGCCTCCCAAGTAGCTGGGACTACAGGCGCCCGCCACCTCGCCCGGCTAGTTTTTTGTATTTTTTAGTAGAGACGGAGTTTCACCGGGTTAGCCAGGATGGTCTCGATCTCCTGACCTCGTGATCCGCCCGTCTCGGCCTCCCAAAGTGCTGGGATTACAGGCTTGAGCCACCGCGCCCGGCCTGGACTGGTCTTAAGGCCAAGACTGCAGCCCCTGGCTTTCCTCACCACCTCTGTCCACAGCACCCCACACCACATCCAAGTTGCCCCAACGCAGCTCTCTACTGGTTCTGGAATCAGGTCTGGGCACTCAGCTCTCTGCTGCTCCCTGTCAGAGCTGCTGCTCAGCTAGGACCACACTCCCCTCTAATTTCTCCCAGGGCCACAGAGGCCTGATTCCTTTTTTTTTTTTTTTTTTTTGAGACAGAGTCTCTGTTACCCAGGCTGGAGTGCAGTGGTGTGATCTCAACTCACTGCAGCCTCCACCTCCCGAGTTGAAGCGATTCTTCTGCTTTGGCCTCCCAAGTATTACAGGCACCTGCTACTATGCCCTGCTAATTTTTGTATTTTTAGTAGAGACGGGGTTTCACCATGTTGGCCAGGTTGGTCTCGAACTCCCGTCAAGTGATCCACCCGCCTTGGCCTCCCAAAGTGCTGGGATTACAGGCATGAGCCACCACAGGCGGCCTTTTTTTTTTTTTTTTTTTTTTTTGAGACAGCCTCACTCTGTGGCCCAGGCTGGAGTGCAGTGGCAGGATCTTGGCTCACTGCAACCTCCCTCTGCCTCCCAGGTTCAAACGATTCTCTTGCTCAGCCTCCCGACTAGCTGGGATTACAGGCGCACACCACCACACCTAATTTTTTTTTTTTTTTTTTTTTTTTTTTTTTTTGAGTCTCGCTCTGTCGCCCAGGCTGGAGTGCAGTGGCCAGATCTCAGCTCACTACAAGCTCCGCCTCCCGGGTTTACGCCATTCTCCTGCCTCAGCCTCCCGAGTAGCTGGGACTACAGGCGCCCGCCACCTCGCCCGGCTGGTTTTTTGTACTTTTTAGTAGAGACGGGGTTTCACCGGGTTAGCCAGGATGGTCTCGATCTCCTGACCTCGTGATCCGCCCGTCTGGGCCTCCCAAAGTGCTGGGATTACAGGCTTGCGCCACCGCGCCCGGCCCACACCTAATTTTTGTGTTTTTAGTAGAGATGGGGTTTCACCATGTTGGCCAGGCTGGTCTCGAATTCGTGGCCTCAAGTGATCTGCCCGAAGAGGCTTGATTCTTGGTGGACCACCACCTTGGGGGCGCCTTTCCTGCCTCCTGTGCCTCCAGTCCCTCTACCTCTGACCCCCATCCCCAGGAAAGACAACGGACACCAAGGCTGCCGCACATCGGGTCGTTTGTTTACTGGGTCAGGTTGGAAGCCTTAGAGCCAAGGCTGAGTCTCCAGGACGGTCCTGTATGGGCTTCAGGAGAGCCAGCGCCACACACTGGCCTCTGACCCATAGCTGCCTGGAGGGGATCGGGCAGCACGTTATGGCGGTAGGATTCAGGTTGGACGGGAGCACCTTCTGTGACATGCGGTAACTGACCCTTTCCGGGTCACTGCCGTCCAGTTGCCGCTGTCCGGTCACCATCAGCCATTGGCCGTCCACCTGCACCACCAGCTCCTCCGGGGCGAAGCCGTGGGCATCCATCTTCATTTGGAAACCCGTCTGTGGCATGATCATTGTCCTCCTGCGCTGGCGGACTCTCCCTGAGCAGCCGCACCGGCATTGTGGCTACCTGGTTCCGTTCAGCGAGGCCCACGCTGGGACACCGGGATGCCACCCGGCTCTCGGAGAAGGTGTTACCGATCGGCTGCATCCGAGTCAGCAACTAACTGCTGTCCAAGGGTGCGAGGCTCCGAGCGCAGAGCTAGGCGCGCGGACGCCCGGAGAGGGGCGTCCCGTGGCCTAGCCGAGATCAGCTCCGCTCGCTCGGTTCCCTTCGCTTCTGCAAACGCAGGCGAAGTTCGGAATCAGTCACGCCCATCTTACCTCCAAGAGCCAGACTGTCACCGCCCTGGCGCGCCCGCAGCTACTCTCATCCTAGACCCTGACCCTTTCTCCGCCCTTCCCCACCTTCGTTAATGGGCCCCAGGAGGCCGCAGCTGTGAAGGAACTGGATCCTCGACCAGGCCAGACCCGAGGGAGCCGGACCGCGGTGCAGCCAACAGCAGATTGATCCCCCAGCTGGAAGGGGGCTGTCTTGCCTTCTAAGGACCAGGCCTGGGGCAAGGATTGTTCCCAGAGAGAGTCAGGGGAGGGCGGCCTTTCTGGGTCATCCACCCTACCTCTCCCTGACCACCCACAACCCCACGCGGACACGCGAGACGAGGAGGCGGACTGGTCTCTCCGGCTGCATTAATTCATCCGCCCCCCGGGGTCTCCTGTGATGCAGGCTGTGGTCTGGGTTCGGGCCACAAAGATGAAGATGCAGTCGGGGCTTTAGGAGAGCGGCTCCCAGTGCGCAGAGAAAGGCTTAGCCCTCCCCTGCCTCACCCTCCACAGTAGCCTTCTTGGTGACCATCGTAACCACAGCTATGCCTCTGGTGCTGTTAATTGATTTTTTTTTTTTTTTTTAAGAGTCAGGGTCTTATTATGTTGCCCAGGTTAATCTCGAACTCCTGGGCTCAAGCGATCCTCCCATCTCGACCTCCCAAAGTGCTAGGATTACAGGCGTGAGCCACCTCGTCCGGTCTATAAACTTTATTTTTTATTTTTTTGTAGAGATGGGGTCTCCCTATGTTGCCCAGCCTGGTCTCGAACTCCTAGGCTCAAGCGATTCTCCTGCGTGAGCCAGCCACCCGGCCTGATAAACTCCCTTTTGTTGAGTGATACTATTAAATACATACAGAAAAGCGCACGAAAAGGTGCAGGTGAATGTCAGGAGGAGAACACACCCAAGTCACCACCACACTGCTGCAGAACTGTTGTTACGTCTCATCTTTACCGCAGCTGCAATTCCATGTCCGGAGCCGCGTGGGGCAGGGCCTGTGCGCGAGTTGGGGGAGGGGGTTAAGTGGGAGAGAGGCGCAGGAAAGAGGCAGACCCCACGATTGTCCCCAAGACTCCTTGTCCCCAAGAGGACAGCCATCGTGACTCTCCCGGACACCATTAAAAGAGATTACAAGTGAAGAGGGGTCAATGTGGGGCCTTCGCTCAGGCCTCACTTGGCTGTCAGGGGCCAAGAGACCAGACAGAAAAGTCTGGAAGCTGGAGGCAGTGGGGGAAGGCGCTGGAAGACTACAACTCCCGTCACGCGCCGCGCAGCGACGCCTGCGCACTGAACGCCGGTTGCCCATGCGGCCCTAGGGCTGGGAGCGCGGCGCCGCTCTCCGCTGCGGGGGAGGCCATGGCGGAACCTTCCCAGGCCCCGACCCCGGCCCCAGCTGCGCAGCCCCGGCCCCTTCAGTCCCCAGCCCCTGCCCCAACTCCGACTCCTGCACCCAGCCCGGCTTCAGCCCCGACTCCGACTCCCACCCCGGCACCAGCCCCTGCCCCAGCTGCAGCCCCAGCCGGCAGCACAGGGACTGGGGGGCCCGGGGTAGGAAGTGGGGGGGCCGGGAGCGGGGGGGATCCGGCTCGACCTGGCCTGAGCCAGCAGCAGCGCGCTAGCCAGAGGAAGGCGCAAGTCCGGGGGCTGCCGCGCGCCAAGAAGCTTGAGAAGCTAGGGGTCTTCTCGGCTTGCAAGGTGGGGGCGGGGCCTGGGGTGAAGGGGCGGGGCTTGGGGCATCCCTGGGCTCGGGTGGGAGTGGGGTCAAAGCTCAGGCTGCGGAGCGGCTCTTGCCCCAGAGGTATAGATCATTGACTGATCCTTCCGCCTCCAGGCCAATGAAACCTGTAAGTGTAATGGCTGGAAAAACCCCAAGCCCCCCACTGCACCCCGCATGGATCTGCAGCAGCCAGCTGCCAACCTGAGTGAGCTGTGCCGCAGTTGTGAGCATCCCTTGGGTAAGGCAGGCAGCGCCCTTGGAGCTGGGGGCAGCTGCTTGGACAGGGTGACAAGTGCCACAAAGCCTCATCTCTGAAAAATCAAAGATGCCTCGAAGGAGGGATTGGGTTGGGGGGTGTGTATGCACCAAGGGAGGGGAAAGGAAATCTCTCAGCCCAGAACAGGCCCAGGCAACCCAATGGCTGTTATCGCAGCAGTCAGTCTCACTATTGGTCACACTGGTTGGAGGGACGGAGTGTGCATCTTGGTTGGCTGTGAAGAGGGTCAAGAAGCCTTGTTGATTTCTTCTATCAATTTTTCCCAACTCTGTCATCTGTCTTGCAGCTGACCACGTATCTCACTTGGAGAATGTGTCAGAGGATGAAATAAACCGGCTGCTGGGGATGGTGGTGGATGTGGAGAATCTCTTCATGTCTGTTCACAAGGAGGAGGACACAGACACCAAGCAGGTCTATTTCTACCTCTTCAAGGTGAGCTTCTACTGAAGGAGGGTGTGAATGAAGGAGGTGGGGCCTTGAGGGGTTGTCTGCAGCTCTGCCCCGTTCCCCTCTATGCCCCTTCCTCTTCTCTCTAGCTCCTGCGGAAGTGCATCCTGCAGATGACCCGGCCCGTGGTGGAGGGGTCCCTGGGCAGCCCTCCGTTTGAGAAACCTAATATTGAGCAGGTGGGATAGGGAAATTGGAGATAGCGGAGAGGAGAATTGGGGACAGCTTGGAGGAGTGGGGAGCCTGTGTTCTCCATCCTCCTCAAGCTGAGAACAGTGGGGAGGTTCAGAGAAGGGAGGGTGTTTTGTGCTAACCTCAGGGTGGGCATGGTGGTAGGGAGGGGGCAGAGCTTTTCTATAGAGAGCACCCGAGAGAGAGAGGAGAACCTTGTCCCTGGCCTCAGGGAGCCTCTTCCTTTGTCTAAGAAGGCCCTGCAGGCTGCTCACATCTCATTCCTGGTTTTATTCCCCACCCACCCCTTCTCAGGGTGTGCTGAACTTTGTGCAGTACAAGTTTAGTCACCTGGCTCCCCGGGAGCGGCAGACGATGTTCGAGCTCTCAAAGATGTTCTTGCTCTGCCTTAACTACTGGAAGCTTGAGACACCTGCCCAGTTTCGGCAGAGGTCTCAGGCTGAAGATGTGGCTACCTACAAGGTCAATTACACCAGGTAGGCCCAGCCAGGGGCAGCTTCGGGGGAGGCTTGCAGGCCCAGCCTGGGTTCAGTGGTTTCCGCCCTCACCTGTCTCCCCCTCAACTCCCTACTCCAGATGGCTCTGTTACTGCCACGTGCCCCAGAGCTGTGATAGTCTCCCCCGCTACGAAACCACTCATGTCTTTGGGCGAAGCCTTCTCCGGTCCATTTTCACCGTTACCCGCCGGCAGCTGCTGGAAAAGTTCCGAGTGGAGAAGGACAAATTGGTGCCCGAGAAGAGGACCCTCATCCTCACTCACTTCCCCAAGTAAGGCTCCTTCTGGCCTATCAGGATTTGGCCCCAAGTTCACATCCTCCCTGTTGTCCCCTTTTTTCCAGGAAGGCTTCCTGGATTGGTCCCTCCTCTCCCTCCATGGGCCTTCTGGGATCTGGGCGTCTACCTGGCAGACTTGCCCATGGCCCAGAAGCAACTTGCTAGTACTAGTCTGGGGATGGCAGGTACATAGCCCAAGCTAACGCTGCCCCCACCCCACCCTACGCCCCGGTAGATGTTACTAATTGTTTCCCATGGGGGCCTGGACACAGCCTCAGACTCCTTCCCTGCACAGCTCTCCAAGAAATCAGAGCTTATGCTTGAAGTGAAACCAATTTCTACTCCTGTTCTGGTCTTTTCTGTACAATTTTCTTCTGTTCGGCCACACCTTTTAAAATCTGGGTCATAACTCCCCTGTTCAAAAAACCCTCACTGACGAATCCTGGCTCTCTAGTGCCCTCCGCCATCAGGTGGGAACAAGAGATGGCAAGGTGGGGTGGAGTCTGAGCCCATTTTGATACTGAGGGCAGTGAGGGGATTCAGGGTGACAAGGTGCCCTCCCTGGCCACACAGCACAGGATGACATCAGCTCAGACCTGTCTCCCTGTGCTACACAGCATGGTGAAACTGAGCTTCTTTGATCTCTGTCCTGGATGTGTCCTGTTGTCTTACCTTCAATTGGAGGCTCCCAGAAGACAGGGGCTGTCCCCTCTTTCAGGTCCCCAGTTCCCTAAGAGCAGGGTCTGCTCTGACCAGCCTCCAGTCCCTCTGCCGCCTGGCCCAGGCTGCACCCTTGGAGAACAGAGTTGTGGGACAGACTGTGTCCTCCCTACAGATTCCTGTCCATGCTGGAGGAGGAGATCTATGGGGCAAACTCTCCAATCTGGGAGTCAGGCTTCACCATGCCACCCTCAGAGGGGACACAGCTGGTGCCCCGGCCAGGTATGTGCCATGGTATGCTCTGTAGGGTGTCTGGCCTGCCTGGCTGAGCTAAGCCTCCTGGGTGGAAGAGGGCTCAGCTGGGCCAGAGGCCCTGGATCCCACTGAGGGACCTGCCACCAGCTTCAGTCCCCCCGTCCCTGACTTCTCTCTCTCTGTCTCAGCTTCAGTCCCCCCGTCCCTGACCTCTCTCTCTCTCTCTCCTCAGCTTCGGTCAGTGCAGCAGTTGTTCCCAGCACCCCCATCTTCAGCCCCAGCATGGGCGGAGGCAGCAACAGCTCCCTGAGTCTGGATTCTGCAGGGGCCGAGCCTATGCCAGGTGGATACTTGATCCCTGACCTCTGACCATCATTCACTCCTTCCCAAACCTTTTTTTACTGATCCTGACCAACCTTGCCTGCCTCCCCAATAGGCGAGAAGAGGAAGCTCCCGGAGAACCTGACCCTGGAGGATGCCAAGAGGCTCCGTGTGATGGGCGACATCCCCATGGAGCTAGTCAATGAGGTCATGCTGACCATCACTGACCCTGCTGCCATGCTGGGGCCTGAGGTGGGCAGCCCGACCTGCTGACCAGTTGGGGGACCCCCACCAACCTGAAACCCCAGCTCACCGCCCCTCTTCTGTGCCCAGACGAGCCTGCTTTCGGCCAATGCGGCCCGGGATGAGACAGCCCGCCTGGAGGAGCGCCGTGGCATCATTGAGTTCCACGTCATCGGCAACTCGCTGACGCCCAAGGCCAACCGGCGGGTGTTGCTCTGGCTCGTGGGGCTGCAGAATGTCTTTTCCCACCAGCTGCCACGCATGCCTAAGGAGTATATCGCCCGCCTCGTCTTTGACCCGTGCGTCCCCCAGAGAGCCCCTCCCCCAGGGCAGGACCCCCGGGTCCCTTCCTCCTCGGCCTCTTGACTCCTCAAAATTGGAGATCCCCTGCTCCCCACTTCTGAAGTTCAACCTTTGAGCATTCTTATTTCTCACTGCCCAACCCTGACTACAGTTCAGACTTCCAGGGCTCTGGGGACCTGAAGGAAACAGGCAGGGGCTGTGACGTGCCCACCTCTCTCTTAGGAAGCACAAGACTCTGGCCTTGATCAAGGATGGGCGGGTCATCGGTGGCATCTGCTTCCGCATGTTTCCCACCCAGGGCTTCACGGAGATTGTCTTCTGTGCTGTCACCTCGAATGAGCAGGTCAAGGTGAGTGCCGCTCCCCAGCCCACGGCTCGCTCTGGAGTTTGGGCCAGCTCGGAGCAGCGGGAGGTGTGGGATGCAGCAGCCCCTTGCTCTTCTCTTAGTGGCCCGTTCCTCACATCCCCACAAGGTGGCAGCCGTACTTTGATAACTGTGGATTAGGAAACCACCTGTTCACAGACAGAGCCCAAGAAGCGGCCACGCTTTGGTGACCTGTGGACTAGGATTTTCTTCATCACAAGAACATTTACATACATGGGGGAATTAATTACTTTAATTTTTATTTTTTATTTATTTTTTGAAACAGGGTCTCTCTCAGCCAGGCCGGAGTGCAGAGGCATGATCAGGGCTCACTGCAGCCTTGACCTCCCAGGCTCAAGTGATTCTCGTGCCTTGGCTTCCCAAGTAGCTGGGACTACAGGCATGCGCCATTACATCTGGCTAACTTTTGTGTTTTAGTAGAGACAGGGTTTTACCATGTTGCCCAGGCTAGTCTCCAACTCCTGACCTCAAGTGATTCACCTGCCTCGGCCTCCCAAAGTGCTGGGATTACAGATGTGAGCCATGGTGACCAGCCGAACTAACCGTTATTACAGTAGTCCTATGCTGATAGCCTTGGCTTCTGTCCTTTGTTACAACAGACCCCCTCGTAGGGTCGCTGGCTCTGTGTGTCACATACCTCAGATCTGCGTGGCGCATCGTTGGCCCTGATGTGTGGGAGCCATTGCTCCTGCTCAGGCCTCTGGTGACTCCCTCTCCCTCCTCTCCCAACTCTGAGGCCCAGGGACTGAGAATTGCTGGCCTGTGTTGGGTTTGGACCCGGCCCTGCCACGGCTGGCAGCCTGACCTTGAACGCATTTCCTAACATAGCTGAGTTTCAGTTTTCTCTTTTCTAAAATAGAGGTGGTACTACTCGCCTCTGGGGTTGAGAATCGGTCTGTAAAACAGGAAGCACTGCACCTGGCCCAGAGTGAGCTTAGAAAGCCTCTACCTTTCACTTTCCCCCATAAAATCCCCTCCCTCTGTCAGCTGCCTTTCTTCCTCTTTGCCTGGATGCTCTCCCTCTCCCCACCTCCTTTCCAATCCACCCGCTCCACTCTGGGCTCTGAGACCTCTCCAGCACCAGGCCCATCCTCAGCTCCTGGTGAGTCCTGCTCCCCTCTCCCACAGGGTTATGGGACCCACCTGATGAACCACCTGAAGGAGTATCATATCAAGCACAACATTCTCTACTTCCTCACCTACGCGGACGAGTACGCCATCGGCTACTTCAAAAAGCAGGTGACCCGTAGCCTTATCCCACGCTGGTCCTTTGCCTGAAGCCTGGGGTCATTCTGTCCAGCCCCTCTGTGGATGGAGTAGGAGTCCCTTTATGTCCCCTACTTCACCTGACACCTGCCAGGAAAGTCTCCATGCCTATCTTCTTTCCTCTGCTGCCACTGCCCCAGGGGAGAATGGGGGCCTATGGGGCCAGTAGAGCAGGCTGGAGGAACTGGGGGGCCAGTAGAGCAGGCTGGAGGAATTGGGGGGCCAGTAGAGCAGCCTGGAGGAACTGGGGGACCAGTAGAGAAGGCCGGAGGAACTGGGGGCCAGTAGAGCAGGCTGGAGGAACTGGGGGGCCAGTAGAGCAGGCTGGAGGAACTGGGGGGCCAGTAGAGCAGGCCGGAGGAACTGGGGGGCCGGTAGAGCAGGCCGGAGGAACTGGGGGGCCGGTAGAGCAGGCCGGAGGAACTGGGGGGCCGGTAGAGCAGCCTGGAGGAACTGGGGGACCAGTAGAGCAGCCTGGAGGAACTGGGGGGGCCAGTAGAGCAGGCTGGAGGAACTGGGGGGCCAGTAGAGCAGGCTGGAGGAACTGGGGGGCCAGTAGAGAAGGCCAGAGGAACTGGGGAGCCAGAGCAGGCTGGAGGAACTGGGGGGGCCAGTAGAGCAGGCTGGAGGAACTGGGGGCCAGTAGAGAAGGCCAGAGGAACTGGGGAGTCAGAGCAGGCTGGAGGAACTGGGGGGCCAATAAAGCAGCCTGGAGGAACTGGGGGGCCAGTAGAGCAGGCTGGAGGAACTGGGGGGCCAGTAGAGAAGGCCGGAGGAACTGGGGAGCCAGTAGAGCAGGCCGGAGGAACTGGGGGGCCAGTAGAGCAGGCCGGAGGAACTGGGGGGCCAGTAGAGCAGGCCGGAGGAACTGGGGGGCCAGTAGAGCAGCCTGGAGGAACTGGGGGGCCAGTAGAGCAGCCTGGAGGAACTGGGGGGCCAGTAGAGCAGCCTGGAGGAACTGGGGGGGCCAGTAGAGAAGGCCGGAGGAACTGGGGGCCAGTAGAGCAGGCTGGAGGAACTGGGGGGCCAGTAGAGCAGGCTGGAGGAATTGGGGGGCCAGTAGAGCAGGCTGGAGGAACTGGGGGGCCAGTAGAGAAGGCCAGAGGAACTGGGGAGTCAGAGCAGGCCGGAGGAACTGGGGGGCCAGTAGAGCAGCCTGGAGGAACTGGGGGGCCAGTAGAGCAGGCTGGAGGAACTGGGGGGCCAGTAGAGCAGCCTGGAGGAACTGGGGGGACCAGTAGAGCAAGCTGGAGGAACTGGGGGGCCAGTAGAGCAAGCTGGAGGAACTGGGGGGCCAGTAGAGAAGGCCAGAGGAACTGGGGAGCCAGTAGAGCAGGCTGGAGGAACTGGGGGGCCAGTAGAGCAGCCTGGAGGAACTGGGGGGCCAGTAGAGCAGCCTGAAGGAACTGGGGGGCTCTTCGGAATGAGTCAGGAGTGGGCAGCTGACCTGGGACCTTTCCAGGGACAGTTCAAACCCTCAGTGCCCCAGGAGGAGGTTCAGGAGCAGGAGGTGTCACATGGCACGTGCCACCCCTCTGGTGCTCCCAGGGGAGGGACTACAGAAGTTGGGAAATATGGATGGACTGGGTCATGACCATCCACCCCCCAGGGTTTCTCCAAGGACATCAAGGTGCCCAAAAGCCGATACCTGGGCTACATCAAGGACTACGAGGGAGCGACACTGATGGAGTGTGAGCTGAATCCCCGCATCCCCTACACAGAGCTGTCCCACATCATCAAGAAGCAGAAAGAGGTGGTGTGCGCACGTGCGCATCTGTGGGAGTTTTCATGAATGTGCATGCGGAGGGCGAGCGCACGTGTGTAGACCTGTACTACGTGTACATGCGTGTATGTGTGTGAGTGAGGAGGGGACAGGCCAGGATCTTGGTTCTTGCTCTGCTCCCTTGGGGAAGGTATGAAGGGAGGTACTGGATTAGGTGGCATTGCATCTGGGTGGGTGCAGCTGGTGGCTCTGACTGTGGCCCTGGGAGGGGTTGTTGCTGGGGCTGGAGCTGGCCCCTTAGACCCTTCCTTCCCTCAGATCATCAAGAAGCTGATTGAGCGCAAACAGGCCCAGATCCGCAAGGTCTACCCGGGGCTCAGCTGCTTCAAGGAGGGAGTGAGGCAGATCCCTGTGGAGAGTGTCCCTGGCATTCGTAAGCAGAGGTCTCGGTTGCGGGGTAGTGGGGGCACGCTGCTTGGGGTGCGGATCGGCATTCTTAGAGACATTCTCCCACTTCCCACTTTGCAGGAGAGACGGGCTGGAAGCCGTTGGGGAAGGAGAAGGGGTGAGTGTTTTGTCAAAGGAGCCAGGTTGGGGGCGGGGCAGAGGGACTCGGAGCCTCAGACTTGGTGTGTCTCGCCCCAGGAAGGAGCTGAAGGACCCCGACCAGCTCTACACAACCCTCAAAAACCTGCTGGCCCAAATCAAGGTGGGGAGACCAGGTTGCCTTTCCGGGGCCCCTGCACCAATGGCTGTGGCCTCTTGATGCAGTGTGAGGTGGGTGGCGTTCTCGGGCTGGCGTGGGTGCAGCAGGGCTGTCCCCAGCTCGGCTCTTCTCTCCAGTCGCACCCCAGTGCCTGGCCCTTCATGGAGCCTGTGAAGAAGTCGGAGGCCCCTGACTACTACGAGGTCATCCGCTTCCCCATTGGTGAGGACCCTCCATTCCATCTCCTTCCCCCCTCTTCCATCCCCATACCTGCTCCTGCCCTCACTGCGCCCTGCAGCCCCATGGGGCCCACCCCGGTGGACAGCCCTGCCATGGTCCTCAGCCTCTTAAAGCTGTGCTCCGCCTCCTGCTGCCCCAGACCTGAAGACCATGACTGAGCGGCTGCGAAGCCGCTACTATGTGACCCGGAAGCTCTTTGTGGCCGACCTGCAGCGGGTCATCGCCAACTGCCGCGAGTACAACCCCCCGGACAGCGAGTACTGCCGCTGCGCCAGCGCCCTGGAGAAGTTCTTCTACTTCAAGCTCAAGGAAGGAGGGCTCATTGACAAGTAGGCCCAGCTTTGGGCCACAGCCCTGACCTTGAATGTCTCCACCTCGGATTCTGATCTGATCCTTAGGGGATGCCCTGGCCCCACGGACCCAACTCAGCTTGAGACACTCTAGCCAAGGGCCCTCCGGCCCCTGATCCTGCATCCCTTTCTGGACCTTCAGGCACCCCCAAGCCTGCAGCTCTGTCCCAGCCTTCACTGTGTGTGAGAGGTTTCCTGGGTTGGGGCCCAGTCCCTCTAGAGTGGCTGGTGGGACGGGATGAACCTTGCCCAGCCGTGGTGGCCCCCAGACCTGGTCCTTAACAGCTTTGGAGGCTTGGATTCCCAGGTGGCTATTTCCCTGAGGACCAGGACTGCTCATTTTAGCTTGAGTGATGGCTTCAGGGATTGGAAGTTCAGTCCAAACTGGAGGGGGCCATGCCTTGTCCGGTACTGTACTGTCAGTCTCCCCCGGGGTGGGGGTATGGGGACCATTCATTCCCTGGCATTAATCCCTTAGAGGGAACAATAAAGCTTTTTATTTCTCTGTGTGATTGTTTCTTTGGTATAGTCCCAGCCTTAGCAGGCTCACCTTGGCCCCCCAGGGACCTCTTGCAAACTGGAGGCTGCTCTCCCCAGCAAGCCTCAGACCTGGTCCTGTGCTACACTTGCCCCCTGCGCAGCCCAGGTCTCACCTGCTCTAGTCGGGCAGACCTACCTGGCTGCAGCCCCCCACCTCTTCCCTCCTCCAGGCTGCTCCTGATCCAGATGCCAGGGCAGCAGGGGTCAGAACCTCCTGACTTAACCTTAACTTGGGTGGACGTGGTTACAACTGACCGCAAAAGGGCCAAAGCATAGAGGATCCCGTAGCAGTGAAAGAGTGCTTCCCTGTTAGCACACATGGGGCTTTTTCTCGGGCAGGGATGGGAGATTCCTAAATCGGCTCAGCTGGCTCCTCCCCTCAGTTTCAGTTTCCATTTCCGATTTCTGCTGTCTGCGCTGAGCACAGCGGCACCAGGCTGAGCTAAACAGGGCCGCCCTGGGCAGGCCTACCTGGTGGTGCAGGTGAGACCTGGGCTGGGCAGGGGGCAGGTGTAGCCTGTGTTACTCCCACCCCCACCTTTTGGCCAGAGCAGTCTCCTGAAGGGTTTTGAGGGTGTCCTCCCCCACCTCCCTCAAGTGTGGTGGAGTCCTGGGCAAAGGGAGGTCTCTGTACCGACCAGTCTGGCCAGGAGTTGGGATGAATGGAGGGGCCAGTGGGTCTGAGTCCCCGGCCATTCCCAGAATGGAGCTGTGGCCCTACCAATGGGAGGTGATCATGCCTGCCACGGCGCTGGCGCAGCGGCAGTACTCGTCCCGGAGTTTGTACTCGCGGCAGTTGGCGATGACTGTTAGCACAAACGGTTCTTTTTTATTGGTTCTTTTTCCCGGGGCGGGGATGGGAGATTCCTAAGTCGGCTCAGCTGGCTCCTTCCCTCAGTTTCAGTTTCCATTTCGGGTCTCTGAGCTGAGCACAGTAGCACTAGGCTGAATTAAGTGGGACTGCCCTGGGCAGACCTACCGACTAGAGCAGGTGAGACCTGGGCTGGGCAGGGGGCAGGTGTAGCCTGTGTTACTCCCGCCTCCCGCTTTTGGGCAGAGCAGAGTCCTGATGGGTTCTGAGGGAGTCCTGCCCCACCTCCTTCAAGTGGGGTGGAGTCCTGGGCAAAGGGAGGTCTCTGCACGAACTGGTCTGGCCAGGAGTTGGGAGGGGTGGAGGGGCCGGTGGGTCTGAGTCCCCTGCTATTCCCAGAATGGAGCTGCGGCCCTACCAGTGGGAGGTGATCATGCCTGCCCTGGAGGGCAAAAATATCATCATCTGGCTGCCCACGGGGGCTGGGAAGACCCGGGCGGCTGCTTATGTGGCCAAGCGGCACCTAGAGACTGTGGATGGAGCCAAGGTGGTTGTATTGGTCAACAGGGTGAGTGGTCTGTCCCTGCCCCACTCCCCCACCACCAAGCAGGGTCTCAGCTCTTCAGGCATCTCTCAGTCCCCGCCAGAACTCCAAAGCTGCTGTGGCCATCCCTAAGCTCACCTGTCTTTCCACCCCGGCTCAGTACCCAGCCATGCCCTGCGGGTCACCTTACCTCCCCCGCACTTCCCTGGCCCCAGATTCAGCTTTCTCTTCCCAGCTCATTCTCCACCTCCAGGTGCACCTGGTGACCCAGCACGGTGAAGAGTTCAGGCGCATACTGGATGGACGCTGGACCGTGACAACACTGAGTGGGGACATGGGGCCACGTGCTGGCTTTGGCCACCTGGCCCGGTGCCATGACCTGCTCATCTGCACAGCAGAGCTTCTGCAGATGGCACTGACCAGCCCCGAGGAGGAGGAGCACGTGGAGCTCACTGGTGAGGGCCATGGCCAGGAGGAAAAGGATATGCATCTGGGGTACTTCCACCAACCCCAGGGCACCCACTGGAATCAAGGTGTTGGGAGTTTTTGTGGGAGTGGAGGGTTGCCTGTTCACAAAACCCCAGCAGACACTCTAGTAGAAACAGGCCGGGCTATAGTATAGGATCTTAGACAAGTCCCTTCCCCAGCTGAGCCTCGGTTTACTAATCTGTGAAATGGAGAGAAATCATCCCTGCCTGGCTCTCCATCCTGGGACACAGCTGCAAGTCGGGAAGGGAAGAAGGAATTCTTAGACTATTGTGGGGACTACCTGAAAGCTGATGGGAGGAAGGGCTTTGCAAACACAGGTCACAGCCTTCCTCCCTGTGCCCTCAGCCTTCTCCCTGATCGTGGTGGATGAGTGCCACCACACGCACAAGGACACTGTCTACAACGTCATCATGAGCCGGTACCTAGAACTTAAACTCCAGAGGGCACGGCCCCTACCCCAGGTGCTGGGTCTCACAGCCTCCCCAGGCACTGGCGGGGCCTCCAAGCTCGATGGGGCCATCGACCACGTCCTGCAGGTCAGCCTGGCCCCTGTGGGCCTCCCACTGCCAGACCCACCAGGGACTTCCCTCCCTCCCTCCCTCCCTGCCTGCCTGCCCTGCCACTACCCCATCCCCACCAGTCCTACCAGGCTCTCCATGGCAGTGTCTGGCCCCTTCCTCGCCTAAGATCCAGCCTCCAATGGTTTCTTACGGCACAAAGAATTAACTCCCAACTCTACTATGGTTTACAAAGTTCCACATGATCTATCTCTCCACCTCATTTCCTGCGCCCTCCCTGTTGTAGCTCATCCTACAGCTACACTGGCCTGCCTTCTGCATCTTGAACATGCAGGGCTTGTTCCCATCTCGTGACCTTTGCACTTACCGTTTCTTTTGCCTGGAATGCCCTTCCCTTTGAACTTTACCTGCTGCTTCCTCCTTGTCATTCATTGAACAGCTTAATGCCACCTCTTGAAAGTCCTCCCTGATCACCCCCTCTGCTCTCTGTCATGTCATCCAGTGCTATCCTCTTCAGAGCTTGTTAACGTGCTCTGCAAGGTTCTATTCTTTTTTTTTTTTTTTGGAACAGAGTCTCACTCTATTGCCCAGGCTAGAGGGCAGTGGCATGATCTTGGCTCCTTGTAACCTCCGCCTCCCAGGTTTAAGTGATTCTCCTGCCTCAGCCTCCCGAGTAGCTGGGATTACAGGCGCATACTACTATGCCCAACTAATTTTTTGTATTTTTAGTAGAGATGAGGTTTCACCATGTTGGCCATGCTAGTCTCAAACTCCTGACCTCGTGATTCTCCCACCTTGGCCTCCCAAAGTGCTGGGATTACAGGCATGAGCCACCATGCCCAGCCTCTTTTTTTTTTTTTTTCTTGAGACCGAGTCTCACTTTGTCAGCCAGGTTGGAGTGCAGTGGCACGATCTTGGCTCACTGCAACCTCCACCTCCCGGGTTCAAGTGATTCTTCCGTCTCAGCCTCCTGAGTAGCTGGGACTACAGACGTGTGCCAGCATGCTTGGCTAATTTTTGTACTTTTAGTAGAGATGAGGTTTCACCATGTTGGCCAGGCTGGTCTCAAACTCCTCACCTCAGGTGATCCGCCCGCCTTGGCCTCCCAAAGTGCTGGGATTATAGGCGTGAGCCACCGCACCTGGCCGGTTCTATTATTATTTACTGGTTTATTATCTGTCTCTCCAACTCCAATCTGAGTTCCTTTGTATCCCCAGTGCCTAGAACAAGACTGGCAGAGAGAGGGCGAGCAATATTTGAGTAGACGAATGCCCACACCCGCAATGGCCCACACTGTCCTGTCCTCAGCTGGGATCCATCCTGCCCCAAAGGTTTGCCCATTGTCCCCACAGACCCTCCCTTTCCAGTAAAGTCCTCTCTGTTGCCCCCAGCTCTGTGCCAACTTGGACACGTGGTGCATCATGTCACCCCAGAACTATCGCCCCCGGCTGCAGGAGCACAGCCAACAGCCTTGCAAACAGTACAACCTCTGCCACAGGCGCAGCCAGGTATGTAGGGGCAGGGACACGGTGAGAGCGGGAGCTGGTGTCAAGTTAGGACACCTAGGCTTGGGCCCTGACTCCGCCCTCACAGGCTCTGTGACTTCAGGTCACTTGCTATGTATCTGAGCCTCAATTTCTCCTTTCTGTGAAATGGGGCAGATACAGCCCATGCCCACAGCCTGCTCTTTGGATTGACTCAGAAGGCACCGCCGGTGTCTGTCACAGCACTGACATGCTGGGGAGTGCTCTAGAAACCAGAGAGCAGGGATACTTTTTGCTGAGGCTCTACTGAGCCCTCTCCAGTATGGACACGGCCTGGTGTCTGCTATGACTGGACTGGACAAGGACTAGGTGTCAGGTCCATAACTACACCAAATGTTACATTTGGGGTCAGGTTTGAGCCCACGCCGTGGTCTGGAGGGAGGGAGTGAGGGAGCAGATAGCTGAAAGAACACTTGGGGGGCCATAGGCAGGTGAAATGTAGTTTTATTCAGCAGCTCTCTCAGCAGCAGCTCTCTCACACTGTCCACCTTTATCTGGGCTGTGTGCTCTGGCTCTGTGGCTCCTGCTGCCCCCACACCTGCAGCTGCACTCCCTGGCCTGCAAGGCCAGCTCTGTCAGGGTCAGCAGCTTAACTCTTTCCCTCTGGGCACAAGCCGGTTCCCGGCTCCCCACTGCCCACCTTCAAGGCGACCGGCCCTCCCTTACAGGAATTAGTAGCATTATTCTCTCTCTGGGCATGCCAGCGTGCCCTGCCGTGCCGAGCTGAACCGAGCCCCATGCACAGCGTCAGCAGGGCAGTTATACCTTCTACTGACAGTAGAGTCCAGTATGAACTTACACAAACAGGTTACATAGCAAGTGGAGTATGTGCCTGCCCCCTAAACTCGCTGAGTCACTCTGGCCCGGAAGTCCGCCTCAGCCTATTCCTTGACCAAGGCACATCCATGTACCTTACACTAGGCATCACCGTGCCCAGGCCAAAGGGTAAGAGCACATCGTGGGTGAGACAGGGCAGGACTCCCTCTGGAGCTCATCCCTCAGCTTAGACAGATGGCTGAGGCAGTCGCAGCGTGCTACACGCCGGGGTCAGCACCCCCACTGG